CCACCATTCATTTGTGTAGCTGGGAGTGCGAGAGGGTCCTCATAGTCACTGTGAACGAAAAAAAAATGAGCGGAATGTGTGATATTGGGTGGGTAATGAACTCGGTGATGTTTGACCAACCAACATGGCTCACAATTGAAATTAGAAAGGTTTTTATAGAAAACATAAAATGATATAAATTTTTTAAATACTGAAAATTAGGATGACTTAAATGACAATGCAACAACATAATGAAATATTCAATGACCCGAGACAAACTACATTTCTTAAGAGGTGTGTCCTCACTCTTCATACTTATCTCTTGAAAGTAGTAGAGTCTGGCTACTCTCTTAGCAGTTCCAATCATTCTCCCCGAATAACAAATCCTGAAAAACACAACAATCAGAAGAGTAGTTAACAAGGCAATCAATATCATTCATCAACTTGCTGACAGATAACGAGTTACATTGCAAATGGGGAACATGTAAAACAGTTTCCAGAGTTAGATCTGTTGTTAGTATAATCAACCCTTTAGCAACAATGAAACTACAGGAGTCATTGGCAATTCTCACTGTATCTTTTTAGAGCACGGATAATAAGTTGAGAAAAATTGTGAGCATCCAGTCATGTGATTCGTGACATCTGAATCAATAATCCACAAACTAGAGGTGAAATAAATTGTGAAAGTGATGGGAATAGTACCTTGTCGGATGTGGAATGTTGATGGACTCGTAGAGATTTGATGTGCTCCAAGTAGCTTGATCAATAGCTCCATCCGGTTTCTCAGGGATTCGGAGGATTCCGGGATGTTCCAGGTAGATTAGGACATTGGTTGAATCGTGGTAGATTCGGACGTTGCCGTGAGACCTTTGGTAGAAGAGGGTTTGGCTGAAGGTTTGTAAGCTAATTTACTATATGAAGTTTCCAACACTTATCCCGAGTGTGGTTGGGTTTGTGACAGTAAACACAAATTGAGTGACCGGTCCGAGGTGGCATGAACGAGGGTTGAGGACAATTCAAGATGATTATGACTGAGCTAAAAGAAATGTGACTCGGATTCCGAGACATTGATGGATTTATAAGTCTTCAATTGACGGATAACTGCAGGAAGGATACACGAGATCTACAATAATGCTACAGTAAAGTGCAAGTAAGGTGCAAGAACGATGCAGAAAAGCTGCAAGAAGGCTGTAGAAGAGTGTGTAAGAAAACCTGCAGGAAATAGCCACACTGAGGTGAAAAACAGCGCTGCAGGAAGAAGCCACACTACGGTGAATTCGCAGGAAGAAACAGGGGATCGGAGGGCCAGTGACTTTTTAATTACCAAGTCAGCAAAAACAACAGGAAGGCCTGCAGAAATGTCGGCTTTGAGAAGCTTGATGGGATCAGCAGCCGGAAGAAAAACAACTGGGCTGGAAGGAGAAAAGAGCAGGAAGCTTCAGCGGCATAATTGAGATCAGCCGGTTGAGAGAAGCTGCTAGGAGCAACTGTGTCACACTCCGTCATCTTCAAGAAATTGGCAAGAAAACTAAGGGATGGAAGATTCTACAACAGACCTGATGGAGGAGAGAAATCTAAGTAGCTCTAGAAAACTCCACCGCATTCTAGAGAATATTAGAAAGAAAAACTCCAAGGAGAGCTCAAGAATAACCTCAAAAGATCTAGGGCTATGCATGCATATAAGCGAATAATGTAGAACTATCTAGAAATTAGTATATTCTAATGTAATCTAGAAATTTCGCTTAGACTTGGAGGGAACTATAGATAGGAATCCCCCCCCTCATTTGAAACCATCCAAGAACTCTCCAAGGTTCCTAAGCATTCAAATGTTGTAATTACTCTTTCTTAGTGAAGTGTTTCTTTCTCCAATATTTCTTCCTATTCTTCTTCCAAGAGAGTTTTGTTTTTAAAAGTCCAAGCATGGTGAGGGTTAGGTCGATTTAGTGTCAAAGAAGAGCGCTAAAGCTGCACAAGTGACTTGAAATAAGTTAATCCGTGACAAACAGCTGAAAAGGAGAACAAAGATGAAAAGGAGAACAAAGATGAAGAAGATCCAGAAAACAATGAATTTTCTGCCATTTCTTCTCATCAGAACCTTCTATCTTCTTCAATGCAACAGTGATTTGAGAGGCAGAGGCAAAACAGTCGAGCAGTGGCTGAAGGAGCGGCACAAAGGAAAACGGCTGCAGGAATCATACGGAGAACCATATGGCTGGGGAAACCTGTGGCTGCTGCTTGGAAACAGAAGGAAACCTGCGGCTTGTAGAACCAGGAAAAATGGTAGAAGGAAAATGGCAGCAGGATCAGGGAAAAACTGTAGTAGAAAAAATCAGAAGAGGAAATCACCAACTGCTGGAATCAGCAGAGGAGGCCAGCGGTTGTTGGATCTAAGATTAAACTCTGATACTTTGATGAGAAACTGCTGAAAGTGATGGGAATAGTACCTTGTCGGATGTGGAATGTTGATGGACTCGTAGAGATTTGATGTGCTCCAAGTAGCTTGATCAATAGCTCCATCCGGTTTCTCAGGGATTCGGAGGATTCCGGGATGTTCCAGGTAGATTAGGACATTGGTTGAATCGTGGTAGATTCGGACGTTGCCGTGAGACCTTTGGTAGAAGAGGGTTTGGCTGAAGGTTTGTAAGCTAATTTACTATATGAAGTTTCCAACACTTATCCCGAGTGTGGTTGGGTTTGTGACAGTAAACACAAATTGAGTGACCGGTCCGAGGTGGCATGAACGAGGGTTGAGGACAATTCAAGATGATTATGACTGAGCTAAAAGAAATGTGACTCGGATTCCGAGACATTGATGGATTTATAAGTCTTCAATTGACGGATAACTGCAGGAAGGATACACGAGATCTACAATAATGCTACAGTAAAGTGCAAGTAAGGTGCAAGAACGATGCAGAAAAGCTGCAAGAAGGCTGTAGAAGAGTGTGTAAGAAAACCTGCAGGAAATAGCCACACTGAGGTGAAAAACAGCGCTGCAGGAAGAAGCCACACTACGGTGAATTCGCAGGAAGAAACAGGGGATCGGAGGGCCAGTGACTTTTTAATTACCAAGTCAGCAAAAACAACAGGAAGGCCTGCAGAAATGTCGGCTTTGAGAAGCTTGATGGGATCAGCAGCCGGAAGAAAAACAACTGGGCTGGAAGGAGAAAAGAGCAGGAAGCTTCAGCGGCATAATTGAGATCAGCCGGTTGAGAGAAGCTGCTAGGAGCAACTGTGTCACACTCCGTCATCTTCAAGAAATTGGCAAGAAAACTAAGGGATGGAAGATTCTACAACAGACCTGATGGAGGAGAGAAATCTAAGTAGCTCTAGAAAACTCCACCGCATTCTAGAGAATATTAGAAAGAAAAACTCCAAGGAGAGCTCAAGAATAACCTCAAAAGATCTAGGGCTATGCATGCATATAAGCGAATAATGTAGAACTATCTAGAAATTAGTATATTCTAATGTAATCTAGAAATTTCGCTTAGACTTGGAGGGAACTATAGATAGGAATCCCCCCCCTCATTTGAAACCATCCAAGAACTCTCCAAGGTTCCTAAGCATTCAAATGTTGTAATTACTCTTTCTTAGTGAAGTGTTTCTTTCTCCAATATTTCTTCCTATTCTTCTTCCAAGAGAGTTTTGTTTTTAAAAGTCCAAGCATGGTGAGGGTTAGGTCGATTTAGTGTCAAAGAAGAGCGCTAAAGCTGCACAAGTGACTTGAAATAAGTTAATCCGTGACAAACAGCTGAAAAGGAGAACAAAGATGAAAAGGAGAACAAAGATGAAGAAGATCCAGAAAACAATGAATTTTCTGCCATTTCTTCTCATCAGAACCTTCTATCTTCTTCAATGCAACAGTGATTTGAGAGGCAGAGGCAAAACAGTCGAGCAGTGGCTGAAGGAGCGGCACAAAGGAAAACGGCTGCAGGAATCATACGGAGAACCATATGGCTGGGGAAACCTGTGGCTGCTGCTTGGAAACAGAAGGAAACCTGCGGCTTGTAGAACCAGGAAAAATGGTAGAAGGAAAATGGCAGCAGGATCAGGGAAAAACTGTAGTAGAAAAAATCAGAAGAGGAAATCACCAACTGCTGGAATCAGCAGAGGAGGCCAGCGGTTGTTGGATCTAAGATTAAACTCTGATACTTTGATGAGATTTGGAATAGAGCAGCGCAATTTTTTTGATAGAAGAAGTGTATTTAAACCCAATTACAATAAGACACAACAAAGGAAAGAAATAAAATTGAATAAAAAAATAAAAACTAAATAAAGCAGAATAAAAGAAATAGGAAAGAAATGAAATAGAATAAAACAAATATGAAATATATAATGAGAGAATAAAAACTAATAATAGGTAATAATGGCTACAAGTTGACATTATAAATCTAATAATATTTAATTAATTGCTAATCATATGATTAATTATTTCTCTCATGATCTTTTCCCATAATTTGAAAATTTAAATTCACTTGAAATTTAGATTCTCAAATCTTTTCATATAAGTTCATACTTTGAAAATATAAACAAAATTTTACTTACAACATAAAACTCATAAATTATTCTAATTAAAGATATTAATCAAGTCATTACCATTCTTTTGTGGTTGTACATTTGTCTCTTATGCATGTGCTGCATTTCTCATCAATCAGCATATTACACTTGCTAATGATTGACATCTGGCTGGTGATGTTTGTCTCACTGGTCACTTGGTCAAGATTACCAACCATTCATCGTCAACTGATTTCTAACATTCTCCATCGGCCTTAATTTCTCATACCAATGATCAAATCTAATGTTTGTCAACCACCAATATACAATGCACTTCTTTTCTACTACGCAATCCCCCCTTTTATCAGGATAATGATCAAGTGAATACAGGTGATTGCAACCGCCAATGATCCCGTATTATCATTTATACCAATTGGAAAATGCTCTTGATATTCTTTGCACTATTGACTTTGTTTTTTATTCCTGTGCATTTTTATGCGGCGATTAATAAAGGTGTATGTATGCTGCAGAAGAAGAAGACCGCATTATAATTGCTGCTCACTCCGTTCACGGTAATAAGTGGGCAGTAATTGCAAGGCTTTTAGAAGGTAGAACTGACAACGCTATAAAAAATCATTGGAATTCTACACTAAGACGCAAATGCATTGAATTCGAAAGCTCTAAACCAGCACCTTGTGAAGGGCAGGAAGATAATAGTGCTGATATTTTAGACAAAACTAAAGGATCTTCAGAGGAAACTCAATCTTTTGAGGATGTTAAGGCCATCACAAGCACAGAAGGAAGAGACATTAGTTCAGTAGAAAGCTTATCCCATTATTTTGAAGACAGAGCAAACACAGTTGGACCTGAATTTAAACAGCCATCTGCCATTTTTCGACCTGTTGCTAGATTAAGTGCCTTCAGCCCTTATCATCCAGGTCTCAGCCACGCTACTACTTCTTTACTATCAAGAGCTTCCCCACTGAATGCTTCACTCTTTCGAGTTTGCATGTCAGGCTCTGGAGATTGCAAGTTGCTTGATAACATTCTTTGGGAACCCCAAGTGCCATCCAGGTGTGGGCATGGCTGTTGTGGGACTAAAACCAGAGATCAAAATAGCAGCTCTTTGTTGGGTCCTGAGTTTGTTGAGTTTGTCGAGTCTCCACCCATCTTGCATCGTGAAATAGCTTCGATGGCGAACGAGTTGAGCAATGTTGCTTGGCTTAAGAGTGGATTGCAAACAGGCATATACAGCAGTTGTCAGGCTAATCCATCAAGCAGTTCATGCACTGCAAGTACATGTTAAATGTTACTGAAAGATTCCTCTAGTCTTTGGATGAAATGGGTGTCATCAAATTATTCTGCAATATAAATGGAAATATTATTTCTGAATGCCTGATAAGCTACTTCAGGAAAATTGTACTTTTGAGGCATAAACCAGAGGTTTCTTTTCTTGTAGTAGAGACGATGTTGGTTAATCTGCTACGAATCTGATTATTATTGTTGTGTGAGTTTATTATTCAATCAAATGTTAGTTTTTTAGTTAATCGAAGTCTGCACAGCGTGTTTGGAGTTTGATTTTTTCTCTCATTTCATATTTTATAGTTAAAGATATTTGGATTATGCTACAAGTATGCCATGGAATCGGTAATCGTTGCCTTGTTGTGTGAGTGCTGGAAGCATACTGGGCGAAGCTCTTGCCATGAACATACTGCATAAAAATAATCTGGGCTTTTGTTGGTTAGTGCCAAGTTATTTGAAAGATGCAAATGCATATTGTACATTAAGAATGTGTATCTTGAGGAGATCTAATAGTTCAGAAGGAAAAAGTATGACGAAGAAGTTCCCATTGATGGAAGTTCGTGAGGCTTAGTTCGCCGACTGAGTGAAGTTGTCCGAGCCAAGTCAGCAAGGCCAAAGTCTACCGAACCACGAGAAGGATCAAAGATAGCTAGAGGATACAAGAACAAGCCACTTGGCTAAAAAAGATATAAAAGAGTACTCGAGCTAACTATCACATGCAAGTCGACCCAAGGGAAGATCTGGTTCTCTGGCATCTCCAACCATCTTAGGGACGCTCATAGGATTCTCCTCAGAGGTCAATGATCTATAGTTGGGCCATATCAGTCAATTGATTCACACCGATTAAGCTCAACCGACCGAGCCAATCTATTTCGACCAAGCTGATCCTGCCGATCCGAAGTCGACTAAGGTAAGTCCGCAAGTCAAAAGTAGTGGGGCGATAATTCTATCCATGTAAAAAATAATAAATATCCAAGTACAAACTCCTTTAAAGCAGGAGCAAAAATATAATATCATCAACATTTACCCTCTCTATAAATAAGTGGATTTATTTTAAGAATAAAGAAGGTTTGACACGAGTCATTATTATTTATTCTCTCTTTCAGTCTGTTTCTCTCTCTCTCTCCTTATTTAATCTCTATTTATTGAGTGTGATTCACAGACAAATAAGGATTCAACATTCTAAAAGATGTGATAAGTGTAAATCATGCCACAAACAAGAAGAGGAGTACCCCAAAGAGAAGATGCCCACACCATAGACACCGCAACATGGAGTATACCAGAGAATTTGTATCTCAACCGATCCTGGAGTTAAAGGATTAGATATTGAACATCATTTGAGATGCACTGACACGGTGAAAATATCAGCACCCCCGAAATGATGGACCAGTGCCCAACGATAGAAGAGTCCCCCTACTTTGACAATACTTTGATACTGGTGGGTCGACATTGATCGTCCTACATCGGTTCGGGGATATTTAGGTGCCCCAATAGCTTGAGAATGTATACTCTCGACAAATCTCTGAGGCCAAGCCCCAAAATGATTTAAGATCCTGACACTAGAGTCCTATATGAGGCAGATCGATCTGACTATCTGCATAGCCTCATTTGAGTCAGTTATGTGTTTGTTCAGAATCACCGACGTGTTGTCGTCTATTCTTTACCAAATTGAGGGAGTTGACCATTGGGTGGTTCGATGAATTATCGCTTCGTTCACCTATTCCAAATGGATGTTTGTGTTGCAATTTATCAGCGCCCAAAAGTCTTAGAAGAACTTGCAAGCCCTCATGTAGATCCGTTAAAGAGAGAGAGACAACCTTGAAAACCTTCACTCATTCATCGTATGCTTTAGAAGGAGATGTTGGAATTGCGGAACTTGGGCGCCCATCTCTCTAGAGCTCAAGCGCTAAAAGAATGACCTTTCTTATAACCTTTTCCAGAGTATATTCCTCCACTCGTTGCCCATAGAAGAGGGCTGTCCCAAGCGAAGGGTGGAGACTGAGACCTGATTCATATCCTTCTGCCCATCTTTGATATGAAGACATTCAACTGCCCCAATATCATAGGACGACTGACATAACACATCACTGATGGATTCAAACCCGATATCCTGACCAAAGACTGTTCCTTATGATGAGCATCCACTACCAAACTACAAACTACTCAAAACAACTCCTTTGAGAGTTTTAATGACTAAGATAGTGACGACCGTACAAAATAAATACTACTTCAAGAGAGCACCACCAATGAAGACTAGAGCTTACCTCTGAGACCCCAAGAAGCATTTTGTCTATCACCGGATCATGTACACGACATGGAGGAGAGTTGACACCTTGAGGCCTGATCGAAGAGCTGATCGAGACCGATAAGCTAAAGGAGTTTGTGGCACTGAGATCAATGACACAGTGGCAAGGGAAGGCTCCAGTGGAGGAATTGTCAGATAAGCCAGTTCGAGCCCACAAAATCTACATCTTTGGCATTGTTCGTGCCATTTTTGGAGGAGGTGGAGACTCATCACGTTGAGCCAGCCTAAAGAGGCTTTGATTGGGAGAATTATGTGCAGTATCTCTTATGCCCAAATGCAGTTTACATCCTCCCATTGCCTTCACCAACAATAATTTGCCCCTTATGATTAGCCCCTACAACGATGCTATCATCATCACTGCCCTAATCAACAATTATCAGATTAGTAGCACTCTCATCGACACTATCTGCTCCATGAACATTTTGTTGAAGTCAGTGTTCGGCAAAATATGCCTCGACAACGAACGATTGCATATGCAACCGAGATTTCTGGCGAGAGGAAGCAAGCCTTGGGAATCATCGCTCTACTAGTCACTTGGTGAGAAAAAGACAAGCAGTTCACCAACATGACAAACTTCATAGTAGTTAACTCGCCACTTGCTTACGACACAATCCGGGAGGAGTTCCAAAAGTTGTAGAGGGCCGCCTACATATGAGAGGCTAGCATCCGATGTAGCTATCAAATATTGTTATGGTGTAGAAGCCAAACAGTAAGTGGAGAATGTGTGCGGACTTCACTAATCCAAACATTGCCTTCCCGAAGGATTACACTGCCACAGATCGATATGCTCATGGATCTGCCGGTTGACCATGCCGTGATGAGTTTTCTCGACGCCTTTTCTGGCTACCATCAGATCAAGATGCATCCAGTCGATGCTGAGAAGACTGTATTAACTACTAGCGAGGGAGTGTATTATTATAATGTAATGCAAGCCTGTTATGGTAGAAAGAGTGCAACTGCTTTTCTCTTCTTGATGACAACTTTCTCCTTCCGTTCACTCCTCCTGCCGGGTGTCCTACCCTTTCGGTTACCCGATGACAAAATAAATCAAGAGTGTTATCTTATTTTTCTTGCAACGTCGCTACCAAGAAGTAAGATAAGTGAGGAACTAAAATATATACATCAAAATATGTCAGCTCCATTCTTAAGGAGATCTAACGATCCATAAAGGAAGAATATGATGAAGAAGGGCCCACTGACATAAGATCATGATGCCTAGTTGCCCGAACCAGTAAAGTTGTTTGAGCTAAGCCAACAAGGGTAAAGCCAACTGAATCACGAGACTGATAAAAAACAACAAGCAGATATAAGAATGAGCCTCTCAGCCAACTATCACAAAATAACCGACTCAAGGGAAGATCCAGTTCTATAACATTTCCAACCAAGCATCAGAGGGACGCCCAGAGGCTCCTTATCAGAGGTCAATGATTGACAGCCTGATTGCATCAGTCAGCCAATCTATACTAAGCAAACCCAGCTAACCGAGTCAATTTATATCAACCAAGCTTAGCCAGCTGATCTGAAGCCAGCTAAGATTAGCCTACCTAGTCATAAAGTAGCCGAATGATAGGTTTACCCATATAAAATACCAAAAATACCCCAATCCTTTAAAACGGGGATCATCATGTACTCTCTTCTCTATAAATAAGAGAATCAATAAATAAAGATTGGCACATTGAATTATTATTTATTATTATTCATTCTGTCTTTCTAACTCTCTGTTGTCTTTTTTTTATTTACATTCTATTCTTTGAGCGAGATTCATGGACGAATCAGGATTCAACACATAATTAGAGAATATTTGTCGCACATGAGGAGAAAAGTGTGAGGTTTTCAATAATTTGATGAACAGCATGAGTTCTGTTTCCATTTCATGTTTAGTGGGTCAATATCTTGAAGTACTAGATGCCCAGACAAATTTGAAAGATTGAACAATCCAATGACGGGTGAGAATGGAGTTGACGACATGAAAAATAAGCAGATTTATTCATAATTGTATCAAACACAATTCTAAATTTAAAAGCATTCAGATTTGATGAATCCATTGATAAATCCAACTTTATTAGATTTACTGAATCGCAAAATCCTGGATTGTGCCAAACACGCCTAAAACATATAAAATGAGAAAGTTTGATCGTGGGGCAAACACAACCAACCACATTGATTTCCATGGTTGCTGGCGTTGTCGGCGAGTTATTGGTATCGCACAGAGAAATTTAGGATCGAACCCGGGCCACCCGCATGACAGGCAGGTATAACATACAAATCAAACTGACAAAGTTGAAACTCAATCTAAAACATAATCAAATAAGGATTGATTTCTTAAATTTTACAACCAAAACTAATTGGTTAAATTAAATAATAAATCAGATCATTCAAACTGTTAAAATTCATCCAAATGCCAGGTTTTAATCTTAAGGATTAAACTTCAGTATATTTTTGAAGGCCGGCTTCAAAACAAGGATCTGTTTGAGACAGTTGTAGACGATTGCATATTTAATTATGAAGTTATTAGAAAAAAAAAAACCATTTTTAATACTATAACATAGACTTTCTTTAGAAAAGAAAAAACTTTACACAAAAAACAAGGGATATAATGACAAAAGTTTCTAGAAAAGAACATGAAGAACATAGTCAGGCAAAAGAGAGAGTATGGCATGGCAACCACGTATAAAATAAAATTATGAAAAAAAGAGGGTGCGGTTGTAGCACGATGTTACAATGAAGACCAGCTTGCGTCTACTTTATAACATTGGCATTAAAAGAAAATTTTCAAGAAATAATGAATTGGGAAGCAACGACAAAGGAAATTTCAAAATTGCCAGCGGGGGAATCCTAAGAGATACAATAAAGCATCTTTGACAGAAGGATTGTTCAATGAAAGCAAATTTCTTCCGACAATCTCAGATATTTCAATCTGCAGAGTAGCTTTGTCAGCAGTCTGGAACGAACATATCCTGTCTGTGTCTATGTCCCTCCCACTTACTACTCTCTCATTTGTGATTTGTGCTGCTTCTGCCCGCTACGCTCTAGACCCCATTCATTGTTGCTTCAGAATGAGCGTGGTGATTGCCATTTTCCATATGCTTCCCGTTCATTTGTGTTCTTTGCCTCTGTAAAAGATTAGAAATTAGAATCAACAACATTCAGCTTAGGATGTCCATAAAAAGTTCCTCCTAAATCTCTTAAATAATCAGTATAATCATTAGTCTTTACCCCAAGTAATTACAAATCCTTCTCCATTCATTATTGTTACCATATCAAAGTTATCAAATGTCTCAACCTATTTATAATATTTAACTTTATTACTCATTGCTGACAATTTTCTACAGATTTAAATAGAAAAGGCTGAAGCTGGACTTCTTGCCTGCCTTTTATCCGACCGTACAACCCAGACGAGTTGAAATGATGAGCCATAAAACATAAAGTATGTGGGTCAAATATATGACTCCCAGGAAATATTCATCTCCTTCAACCATCAGGCCACAAAATCTTTTCACATTTTATCATTAATATTCTCCCTCCCTCTCAATTTTCTCTACAAGCCAAGCTGGAAACACAGAGAGAAAGGCAGTTAAAAATGGCACAGCACACCCTGGGCATTAAAATTGTCTGCCTTTCTCTCACAGTTAAAACCAAGCTGGCATGCAAGTTGTGTATTAGCAATGCCACATCCAGCATTATTTCAAACATGAAAATATTCAGCTAAGAACTCCACCACACTGCCCTAACAAAAATAAAATAAAATAAAAGCAATTATAAACAGCAATGGGGCCATACCCAATCAGCAGCATCACCATTCAAAAGCTTCTGGTTCTCTTCTTTGGCTTTGCTTTCCTTTTCTTTAGAACTCAAAGGAAGTATTGGCGGACTTCCCCCAGAGCGATCTGGCATTTCTGCACAAAATTATTCCAAATTTATAACCATAATCTTTTCAATATAAAGCTGCTAATAAAATGAATATTTTGAGAAGATCATATATAAACCTGGCAGTTTTGTTTCAACAAAGAAAACGACCAAATTTACAGTATACCTGACACCAAAGCACGTGAAACCAGATGAGACAAAATGCAGCAGATATAATATAACAAAAAATAACAAAGCTTTCTTCTACTTGCCATGCAACCACCACATCAACGGAATAGTGTTTTCGAGCAGCTACTATAAGCAGGCTCTGAACTATAACCATCAACCATGAAGCTATCTTGATGATCCTGAAAGCACAACCAAATACCAAATACTTACAGAAATCGTATTTAATCAGTGGAACTTACATTAATGATGCCTACAATAGATATAATGAACGCCTGTTATTCGATAAATTAAACAATTACCTGTTTGAACCATACTTATAATACGTTCGCACAAAAACCAGAGTAAATATCATGTGGGATGAAAATATCAAGTCTCCGCATCCATATAGGACTCCTCGAGGAACTGCAAGTAGAAAAACAAGCATAAATGCAGGCCATGGTATTAGAAAAAGCCATATCCAGTATGGCAATAAACAGCATACAATTTAGTAGGAGGACTTCAAATATGTTGTCTGGACGGGGCAGAATGGCAAGAGGTGATCCCTGCACAAAAAGGAATTTTTGTTCATGCAGTGCAACAGTAAAAAACTAATTCCACTGTAATATCAGAGCAGCAAGTAAAGTGCCAAAACTGTCCTCCAGCTATTTACATTAGGACATTTTAGTCCTAGAGTTTATAAACAGATTAAATTAGTCTCTGGCCGTTTTACATTAGGCCATTTTAGGCCATTTATAAACTCTAGGATTAAATTGGCCGCCTGTAAAAAATTAAGGGACCATTTTGACACTTTTATCTCTGAACAACTCATTCAGTGAAGCTTCGACATGTATATACCTCACGACAGTGATAGTTAGGGCCCGGGAGGATGGTAGAATAGAATGTAAGAATTCTTAGAGTCTGGCAAACCTGAAAGAAAGAGCTTAAATTAGATTGCATCATATAATACAGCGGTGGTAACTACAAATTATGAGAGAGAAAAAGCCAAACATATTTAGCACGTACCACTAGACAAGACAAGACTCTGAGCCACAGTAGAACGGTGTAGAAGCGCTTGCTATGGCAAACGAACGGATGAAATGACCACTTCAAATCCAAGAAAATAATCGTTTGAGCGACAAGTTATGTAATCCGAGGAGCAGAAACATAAATAAACTCGTGTTGAAGATATATATATATATATATATATATATATATATATACAC